TCAGCAAACAATTTTTTTCATTAAAAACGCATAAAAAGCTTGCAGGCGAGCCTAGTTTTCACACGGTGGAGAGCTACAATTACCAAAGAGCTGTGCGTCTTTGGGGAACTCGGCTTGACTTTGTTTGTTGATGGTTCGTTGCGTGACATACTTAGTCGGAGACGAACCGAGAGAGAGAGAGAGAGAGAGAGATTGTACGCTTGTAACCCTAATTACGTGCGTAATTACAAACAACCAGCCAACGAGACACAGTTAGAGAAACCTTAAGTGCGTCACATACATACATTTCATCTAATGGTAAATTGTTTTATTAGGTTGTAAAACTTGTGCAACTTCCTTCATCTAGCGCTTTAATCAGCCAGAGGGCTGCAGCTCGATTCGGGGCGTGTAAAGCCATTGCTAAGCTGCCGCCAAATTGCAGTCATTACCGCTGGATCATTCTTTGAATGCGAATACTGTTGCCCTGAGACCAAGATCAGAGCCATGCGGAAATGAACTTGACCTTATCGACGCGCCGATGGTGTGCTAGACCTACAGCAAGCAACTGTTGCTGCCAGCTGGCTTACTAGCGGTTATGCGAACGGCGTAAAATAAAATTCAAGTTAATCAATTCAGCAACAACAACAATATAGAGATTTGTTAATATATATTTGTGAGTCAAATTTGTTGCTGCTAATGATAATAAACCAGCGAAACCAACGGAACACCACAGCGCCAATAACAAAGGCCAAGAAACCCAAAGCCAACCCCACCACCAATAACAGTTTCTACCTATGAAGCACACTTTAAATATGATAAACAGTAGACGAAGGCTTCTTCCGCAAAGCAAACTCAATGCAAGAAGATCAAGTTCAAGAGTTATTGTTTTATAGAAGCGCAAACTAGAAGAGATGCATGGACAATGACCGCTATTGATGATGCTCGCCTCGCACGAATGCTTTGACCCACTGCAGCAAACAGCCCACAATCAGTCACGTATTCACCACTCTTAATGTCTATTGCAAATGTATTAATGAATTCGGGACGGCGCGAACGCCATTCCCGGCTACCAAAAATTACACGCACGAGTTATTCACATTAGGAATAATCGCAGAGGTCAACTCAGCCGAAAGTGCAATGACCAAGCCTCACTCCGGAGGAACCGCCTTCGTGATCACGGTTAACCTCTACGCCAGGTAAGTATGCTTTGCTCCGCTTTGGAACAGCCACTACAACACGGCCGAGTCAGAACCGTTTGAGAATTATTGTGTGCGCACAAGTGAAATTTCCTACAGCAAGCGGAATAGTCAAAGCATGCGCTGCCAACAGTTGAGCATGTGTGCGTGAGTTTGTGTATGCGGCAGCAGGCAAGCACATTTCTGCTCGTGGATGTTAAAAGAGGGATGAATGTTGGTCGCGCACAGCACAATGAAGGAGACGTAAAATTAAGTTAAGTTCTAAAACTACTATGATTTTGAAGATTGTTAATTTGTGCATAGTTATTATTTAGTAGAATTTAACTCATTCGATTTATCAGTTTTTATTATGTGATAAGCATTTATTCTTAGCTATTTATTTATGTGGTTTATGTCTCTAAGAATACAATGGCTTTGTATTTTGCCTCATACAGTTAAAATAATAATAAAATTAGAAAAATCGTATGTACACCTGCAAGCATGTACATACATCTATTAAAAAAAAATGTTAATTATATAATTTCATCAGATAAATCGGTTATTTGTACCTCTGTATATGTACATAAATAAACACTCGCTTCACTCAACATAAAGTATTCAGCAAAACTAACATTATTTGTGCATACAAGAGCCAACTCATACCCGTGTCCTTAAATGTTTCAACCCCTACTGTTGACTACTATCCACATAACATGCAATCCAGTTGCCTTTACTATTTTCACTTCAGTAGAAATTTTCACAATACAATTCTCAAACTGTTCTGACTCGGCCGTATTGTAGTGGCTGTTCCAGAGCGGAGCAAAGCATACTTACCTGGCGTAGAGGTTAACCGTGATCACGAAGGCGGTTCCTCCGGAGTGAGGCTTGGTCATTGCACTTTCGGCTGAGTTGACCTCTGCGATTATTCCTAATGTGAATAACTCGTGCGTGTAATTTTTGGTAGCCGGGAATGGCGTTCGCGCCGTCCCGAATTAATTAATAAATTCCAATGTCATCTATATATAAATATTAATAACGTACTTTGCATACAAACATATGAATATGTAACTGCAGTCATAAATCACTTCACGTTTTCAGGTAGCAGTTGCCGTTCATCAATTAAAGTGTGTATATCTTCTTAAGTATGCCAGCTCTCGTTGTAACTTGCAATATGGAATTTAGATTTAGAGGGAACTATTTATATTTCATTTTACTCCTGAATCCAGGGAGCCCCCGTTACTACGCAGATTTTCAATTTCGTGCTTGAAATTGTATAATATTGATGAAGGTAATCAGCTTATTCAATTGTAAACATTCATATGATTGGAACTAGTAAACGTAATGTTCATAAAGTCAAAAATACAGAAGTGAAGGATTACTGTCTTAAGTGTCGAAGCGCTGAACGCGCGGTGACTTGCTTTTTTGACAGAGCTGGTTTTTATTAGAAGAGCTGGTTTTTATTAGAAGAGCTGTTAATTTGTGTCTAATTAAAGAACGATTCACTGACCAGATTTTACTTCCCTGACGAATTGTAGACAAAGTTATTGTGACTGAGACGTGATAGAATAATTATATTTTAAGGAAGTGCGCAGAAAACTGTTTATAGGCTAAAACCATATTGATGCTTATCTAGATATTCGCAGTTATGTTATGCCATGGTATTCATTATAATGAACAGGGGCAAATGAAGTATACACACAAATACACGCAAATTCGATAACCTGAAGGGGTAAAGCTGAATTAATATTGGATACATTCTAACACCCATTGTTCTTTTCTGATGTCTAATTGGCAAAATGTCTCAGAAATTTTAGAATGAAAGTAATTTACATATTTTATTCAAAAAACTCGTTTGATGTATATTCAAAGTCATCAATTTCAATGTGATTTTATATTTTTTGCTTGATAATGCCAGAGGTTCTGTTGAACCCTAATCTGCATACTTTTTATTGCAAAAATATTTTCGAATGCTTTGTTGGATAATTTTTACAATATGCGTATTTTTACAATACGCAAAAAATTTATTTCAGTCTGGGTATCGTGGCAGTTTGCAAATCGGCATGTCCCCAACAACATTATAGTTGACTAGAAAATATCTATAACAATAATATTGATTATTATATAAGAATGTTAAATATAGATTATATAAAATTTGACAATATCACGGTAAGGTTTTCTCTCCTCGTAAGCTGTTAACATACTCTCATATTTTTATGGGGAAACAATATGCCCATCTTGGACTCTGTGATGGTTGTTGGGTATCTGAATGAAATCATAGACAGAAAGAACGCTTTAATTATACTCTGGGCTAAAGAAATATGCGTAAGTCTTCAACAGAACTCAACTTGTTTTCGATGGGGTTTTGATACGAAGTTGGTCTGAGATAGAATACAAAGAGGAACCAGTTATACAGGGGCCTGATTGCAAACAACCATGACCATGAAAACATTTTCCATTATCTAGCACACGCTGCCAAAATGTTTTGAATTAGAAAACTTGTCCCCGACCTTGGACCACTTTAAGTAAGAGTTTACTTTTAATTATCAAGTTCTAATGGCGAATGGTGAGTTGCGAAGTTGGCTAATTTATTGAGGTGGGTAGATGGTAGAGTAGAGGATAAGTCGACTTGACGTGAGTTATGAAATTCTGACCACTCGAAATAAACGCTCCAATTTCAGTGGCGGACATGACACAGTCAAGTTGTTTTAATTGCACTCATATAATGATATGTGTATCTACTACTCGACTGGCTGATAGACGGGCAGCCTAAGGTTTTAATAGAATCAAAGCGATTCCATCCCAAAAACACCTGCTAATTGCGCTCAGAGGCCAACAAATGCAACGACTGAATGACATAAACGGGTGCCAAAGCTAAACCGGCAGCCACAAGCCGTGTGCCAACTGCCGACTGCAGACAGATGACAGCCGACATAGACCCAACAGAATTGTCGAGCAATTGTCCGCACAGTTTATTGCATATGAATTTTGAGAAACAAATGCAAGGGCAGCACTTAAAGCCAAAATAAAAACGTATGTATAGGTGAATGCTGCAAGCAGACTTATTCAACCGAATAATACACTGTACAATCAGTGAATTAACTGAACAGAATCAGAATAATGGGAGTTTTTCAGAATGAGGGGTTAAACTGATCATAGGTGTGAGGACATAGCTGGTAATATTTCGGCAAGTTCTGGTAATTTCTCACAGAAATGCCCCTATGAAGGATAGAGGCAAGGCTACAACAACTGACGAATCGTCACAATATATGCCCTCTTTTAATATGTGCGCGTTGATTGTAGTCATAAATGCACAAAAATTATGGCAAACTATGAATTGCCACAAAACACCAGCCGCAGCAGCAACAGTTGCAAAGCGCCGACTCATGTTGAACATATATATATATATATATATATATATATATATATATATATATACATCTACCTGTATATATCTGTAGAAAAAAGACAATAGCATTCGGAGGAAACTATTACTAATACAGAAATGAGTACGGGCCGAGTAGCAGTAGATTTTCTACTACGTTTTCACAGCGTCTATGCGATCGGCTTCATCTCCGGCTCACACTCGCAGCAGCCGAACTGAGCGACGAAGCTTGAAAAGCCGAAACGCCAAGCCGAAATTTTAGCACTTCTTTTTAAATTTTTATGCAAACTCGAGCTTTTTGTTAGTTGTGTGTCGGAGTTCGCGGCGTTTGTATCGAATAGAGAGCACAAAGCCGGGTCCGGGTCAAAATCGAACAAGACAAAATCGCCTTTGATATTCTGTGTGTATCTGTGAAGGACATGCCAAAGGCTGTTAGCCAAGTGTAAAACGATTTGTATCTTAAAATGTCTTCAAAAGTTTTTAGTTCATTGATGGCCGAGAGCATTTTGCTCTCCAAAGCCGCTCAGATCATATCGGGATATTCCCCTATAACCATATTTCTTCTGGCAGCGATCATAATATTTCTAGTGGTCTATAATAAGAGACGCGCGCGTTGGGTGAAATATATCGAAAAAATACCAGGACCTGCCGCTCTGCCCTTTTTGGGAAATGCAATCGAAATGAATGTGGATCATGATGGTGAGTATGCTGTCGTTGATCTATAAGTTAGATTTTCTGTTGACTGGACCCTGAAAAGCGATGTGATCTGATTGAATAAGCCAATATGACTTGCAGTAAATAAAGCGTAGACGCGGTATTAGGTGCTAATTAATAGACAAGCGAAACAAGATCAATGCGATCAGTGAATGCCTACGTGAATCAATAAAAGTGTGCCCCGCATTTAGTTGTTCCGAAATTTTAGAACTTATACTGCTTTCAGGTTCACTTTCATTTTTCTCTGCTCGGGATCCAAATTTTTATAGGTGCCGAATTATACGGGTTAATAAATTCCAAATGCACAATTGTGCAAAAATGTGCTAATAAACTGGTAATTGTCATATTGATGATACAAATATTCAGATTTGAGTTTTGACAGAGCAGAATAATTGTCGTATATAATTACTATATATATAGCTTAATTTTCATACAATGACAGAATTTCACACTTGCTTTGATTCAGAAGAATTTATATGTAAATTACTTTGTATTATATATGTTATATTTATTAATATTCAATTTACTCGTTTAATTATGCATAGAAAAGTTTATAATAAGACCTTCAAAATAAAATAAACACAAATACCCATATATAGCGTGCATCACATAATTATTTTAATTTTTTGGCAAATGCCAAATTTGAACTTGATATGAAGTAACCTGCCAAAAACTTTCACCAACTCGAAATAAAAACATAACAAGCTTCAAATAGCGCCCTTTTCAGTAGTGCAAAAAGCGGAAATTCGACATTTGCTAATTGAATGAAATTAACTTGAAGATATTGTTAAGCAACTTTATTCAGAATTGAAGCAGCTATAAAAACAGTAGTTGATCATAAATATAGCCAGACAACAAAAGAAAAAAAAAAAAAAATAAACACTTGAGATATTGAAAAATAAATGGTCGTAAAACTCTGTGGCACACGAAACTCCCAAAAAAGGTCTTAGCCAAGCCATGGGTCTGAGCCGGACGTGTGCTTGCATTGATCTTGGACTTGCTTTTGCTTGATCTTGATCTTGATCTTGGCATTCAAAAGCAGCTGAAAACCATCGAAACAGCATTTGTAGGTGATAAACATAAGAGTCGTTCGGAAAAGCACCAGACTATGAACGTTCAATCGAATGATTAATTCACTAAGCTAATCTAATATAATAGTTCCGCAGCAACAAGAAAACTACAAGCATATGTATATCAATTAACACACATTTAAATGCGGAAATGTTTTTTTTTTTTTTTTAACAAATGAAGCACACATAGATTGATAGACACATAGATTAAAAGAAAAATGTATAGATACATAGATATATAGATACATAGATACATAGATTTATAGATACATAGATATATAGATACAGAGATACATAGATACATAGATACATAGATACATAGCTACATAGATACATAGATACATAG